TCGCCAATTTCCTTTAAAATCACGAAACCTGGTATTTAAGTAAGGCAAATCTTGCATTCTGAAAAACCTTAATACAGTCATAGAAAGTAATACAATTATATTTTTCAATACAGGTGAAGACCTCAATGTTGTCCCAGTCGTGATGGGAGGAGCAGATTACACCAAGCTGGCTATTCCTGGGTCTTACATCAATGTTTTGGACTTCAAAACTGTGAAACAACTGGCGGATTACCTTCATTATTTGGACACTAACAATACCGCTTATAACGAATACTTTAAATGGAGATTAAAATACAAAGTGTTTCGCGGCAACCTTGATTTATCGTTGTGTCAAATATGCAAATGGTATGTTTCAAAATCACCACTTGAGCCAAAGGTTTATCATGATCTTGCAGATCATTGGGTGACAAAAGGAAAATGTAATGCGAAAAATCACCTTGTCACAAATATGTGGGAAACTCAATCGGTAATTACTACATTATCTTTTTACTTTTTGCCGTTTGTTTTGGCTGTTTTGGCTTTAGTGCTGGCATTACAAAGAAGACTAGCCAGAAAAAGCTAACTACCGGCACACGCCGTTATGCACCGCCACGTGCTGGCACGTGCGTGCTTCATCCAGTTGTAATTACCGTTAGAAACTAATGTACTTTACCAGTAAACTAAAGTACTTTACCAGTAAACACCGACACGAGGCATAGCCGAGTAGAATGAAACACAGGTACTATCTACCCCATGCCCTTGCGCGTCTCATTAGGGCTAAAAATTGAAGTTGCGGCCTCAACTGTGTGACTGTCAAAAGTCCAATCTTTCAGTCAAGGGTGTTATCAAAGAAGCCTGGAGTTAATTTCTTTCCCCGGCGAACTGACATCACGTGGCAACACAGAAATCAGCTATCCATGAGTTTTCCGCACCCTTTTTGATATCTTTAGTCGATTATCATGCAACGAAAAACAAAAATAGCTGTAAGTGAACACCTTCCAATTAGCTTATAGTTTAATAGGGCGTTGGCCGCTACCAGATTAGGGGTAGAGGGGAGATTCATACCCCGTTGGGTCACAAAACAGGTGTCTTGTAGCTTATTGCTAATGCAATGAAGATATCGTTTAAGTACAGATGATCATTTCATTGGGTGGTGACGTCAGGTTAAGCCGTTACAATAGGGACTTTAAGATCCCAACGACGCGACGGCAACGAGAACGTAGCTTAAAAAGAGAATTTGCGTTCTTTCAGTCTTTATAACGATTATTCCTACCCATTTACTTTGTAAAATGTGGGCGAACTCTCTTGAACTTAAATTTCAAGTGACCACATCCTAGCTCAGAAAGAGAAATAAAATTTCGTCGTTGCTTGTTTACGTCCTCCATAAAACGCGAAATTAGGCATTTTCACGTCGTAGTCGTGCAAAAACGGGAATGAAATGTACAAAAAAGCGTGATGCACGTGCGAAGTTGTCGTTTTACTTATTATTAAACCTACTGTTTTTTCGCACGTTCTCGTTACCGTCCGCGTCGTTGGATTTTAATTAAAGTTCCTAATTACGCACCACTATGGCGTTAATAATATTTTCTTCTAAGCAGAAAAGATATTGCGCTGTTACCGACACCCTGAGAAATGATGTAGTAGGTTACCGCGCCTTATGACTTGTAGAATCCAAGCTTTTCAAAGACTTGTCCTTGGAATTGAATTATATTCGTGAGTTACGCCTGGGACAAACCTCGAACTT